GGAGGAAGACAGAGGCGAAGTGTCGAGGGAGACGGAGTTCGGCCTTGTTCCATACGAGCGCGGGGAAGCGACAGAGGAGGCAACAACAGGATGGGGTCATGGACAGAGCTCCCATTCTCCCACAGGAATAGGGTCTTGAGGATGAATTTGGATGTTCACTTTAAATTAGGGGCTTGAGTAGAGGCCCTGTTGAAGCATGTTTTTTTTATCTAAGTCCCTCATATTCAACTATGGGAGCTCAAATAGGACCTGCTCGAGTTGCTCTTATGCACTACACAACGCCAGCATCGCGTGGGGGACACTGTGGGCCTTACGTCTTACACCTAGCAATGTGTTGCTCCGCGGGCCATAATGTGCACACACCGTTTGTTTTGGGTCGAAGCCTGCTGCCCATGGATCTCTGTCCAGCGTCTTGCGGCACAAGACGTACGGCCCATGTATTCCCGATACTCCAAGAGTCGAGCAAAGCACTAGTGCTCGTAATCTCTCGTTCCTTCGCCGCCTCCGCTCGAGAGAAATGCGAAAGTCCCTACTTCGCGGAGTCCCGAGGTCGGCGCTCGGCGGCGCCGCCGCTGCCCCCAGGGGACGTCTCCGTCTCCGCCCGTCTTGTCTCACCGCTCTTCGGTCCCGCTTCTCCTCCGCCTACCCGACCGCGGCAGGGACGACAGGCCAGACGCCGCCGGATTCCCGCGCCGAGACCCGCCCCGGCGGCCCCGCCTCGGCTCGCGAGAGAGATGCGCACGATCTCGCTTCGCCACTGGTTCGGAGGTCCTCCCCCAAACTTTGGCAGCATCGTTGACGCGCCAGGGCGCGAGAAGCACCCCGACGCCATCGAGCTCGCGCGGTTCGCCGTCGCCGAGCACAACAGCAAGACGGTACAGTACGGCGAGACGCGCCCATATCGGTCCTCTCCCCTCCCCGGACATCGACCCGATCGCGAATGCCTCTGTTTGCCTACATGATTGACGTCCTTGCCTTGTGAATTGTGATCGTCGTGCTGTTGCACGTACGTATCTGACGCGTGTGTTGCGTGCGTGCAGAACGAGGCGCTGGAGTTTGTGAGGCTCGTGAAGGTGAGGACGCAGCTGGTGGCCGGACGCATGTACTACTTCACCGTCGAGGTGAGGGAGGTCGACGGTGGCGCCAACAAGCTGTATGAGGCGAAGGTGTGGCTTAGGCCATGGGAAAACTCTAAGGGGCTCCACCCTATGGCCTCGTTCGGTTACAATAATTCCTGGCTAGATCTATTCCTGTCCTTTCCGTTTATTCAGGGCTCGTTCGTTTAGGGTGGTTCTGGACAGGAATAGATCCTGGTTAAGAGTAGTGTATATAAATTAGATAAGTGATCCTGGCCAGAACAGTTCCTGACCTCGGAACCCCAGGAACCGAACAGGCCCTCAGTATTTTCTATAGCTCGGGAACTGTTCCTGCTCAGCAAAGACCAGGAACGGCATAACCGAACGGGCCCTGAGGTAAAACGAAGATCTGCACAGGACCTCAGTCTGTTTATCTAGTAGCTAGGAATGTATCAGCACTGAGCGTGGGTTCAGTTTGCGTCTGCTCCTGTAATTGCCAGCGACAAACGCCAAATTGCCTGAAACTTATGATAAAGTTTGTACTACAGTACTTATTCGAGATGAACAGTTGTGCAAATTGCCAGCGACCATAGCCACTGCTTGCGTCACCGTTAAACGTAATGTTCCATAGCGAGCAAGCCATTGCCATATGTCGCTACAGGGCACTGCTAGTAGTTGTTGTTGTCGTCGTCGTGGCGTTGTTGCCACTTATGTCGTATGCCAACGCTATCCTACACCGGACTAACCACCACTAGGGATGTCAACGAGGAATTCTCTGTAGGAGATAGCTCCCCAACCCCATCCTCACAGGGATAAAAATTTTGTCCCTGCCCCCGAGCGGGGGAGCTTTTCCTCCCATCCAAGGGTGGATCTAGGATGGGTGCAAAGGGGCTAAACAATAAAGATTTATAGCTAGAGTTACAAATTATTTCTCTAGAAAATCATGCTCACGAGGGGGGTTGCAGCCCCCCCTTACCCGTGCACCTATCCCCATTACAAAAATGCAATATTTGGAGAGCAAGCAAATTCATGGTGTAAAATGAATATTATTGAACAAGCAATATTTCATATTACACATATTACAAGGGACATCTACGACATGGTTTAATTTGCTATTTATACTATGGCTATGTGTTGAGTTTTTGGTAGAATTTTAACATGCCAAGGGGCTATTTTAGAATAAAAGCGAGTTCACGGGATATTTCTTGTCTTTTAGAAGAAGCCAAAAGAAAACTTTGTGCTTTGACAGACAAAAAGAGTCCCACATCCATTTGCAAACTGTGTACCGGAGTGATTTCCATTATTTTCCTGTAAACTTTTGTCGAAGAGTATAGACTTGAGTTTGCGGAAAGCCTCCAAATATCCATGTTTCAGATAGGTTTAGGGAGATCAACTCACCCGAAAGATTTTGCAACTGCCCATAGGCCACTTCAGATAGAGGCAGATGAAAGAGAGTTGTGAGCTGGCCTTGTTCAATTGCTTTGGCTACTAAAATTGACTTGTTCTTTGCAAAGGAGAAAAATTCAGGTAGTGTACTTGATAGTGGCTTAGATTTCCAGCTGTCCTTCCAAAATAGACAAGTTTTTCTATTTTGTAGGTTCACTTGCATTAATTAATTGTATGTGATTTCAGAACGTCTCTCCACCAGAAAGAAACCTTTCTTTGTATGGCTTGGTAATTTTTCATTGTTGTAATGCTTTTCCCATCTAGTTGAACCCAGGGTATGTCTCCCATTTGATCATATGTTATTTCTTTTTATTTCCCACTCCTTACCGAAAGCATTTCCCCTCTAGCAAGTCAAATCTCTGGTGAGTTCCTTCGTGTAGCCAATAGAAACCCATAGTATAAACAGGAATGCTTTTTTTCGCGAGCGGGTTCTCACCCGTATACACAGGAATGCTAGTGAGGCTTGTGTTAATAATCAAGATAGATCTCCCCCCATATAACAAGTGTCCACATTTCCAGGTCACTAGTCTTCTCTCTATTTCCCCCGCTTACTCAATTCAGCCTTAGTTAATCTTCTGTCATTTGCCGTGTGCAATTGAAAGCATCAGCTATATTCTGACTTTCCCTGTCATTGAGACCTACGGTAAACACAATACTCTTTGAGTGTTTATCGTCGTTCCAGATATCTCTTCATAACAAAACAACAAAAAATTCATGTGTTCATGATCTCTTGCTCTGAGTAGTGCAGGACCAGAATTGCGTCGTCTGCTCACTGTAAATGAGTGAGACCTCCCTCCACTAACTCAGGTAGAAGACCCTTTTAACACTCCCTTCTCACCGGCCATACCTTGGTGTGAACTGAAACGATATATTCGATTCGATCGCACAATTTCTTCCCTAATAAGCTCTAGGCAGAGAATCATTTCACTCCGCGTCAAAAAAACTCAAAACAGGTGACGGGACCCGGCCGTCCACGGAGCCAAAGCATACCGACGGCTCCACAGCATTCCTTCGCCGCACCGCTTTGCTTCCTCGCAAAGCATCGGATCAGAGTCGCGTCGCCATCAACGACGCAGTACCGTTACCGCGGCATCCTTCGCCCCGCCCGCGTCCCAACGCCGACGTCCCCATCACCGTATTCGCATCGTCCGGCAAACGGCGACCAGCGCAAACACACACGCCATTGCTTTTAGTTTGTTCCCTCTCGCTATAAATCCTGTCCCCTTCTCCACTCCAGACGTATGCTTCCTCTCCCTCCCGCAGCACATCCGCAAACCGTCACCAGACCGCGTCAGCGATGGCCGACACACACAACGAGCGGCGCGTGGGGATGGTGGGCGACGTCCGGGACGCGCCGGCGGGCCACGAGAACGACCTCGAGGCCATCGAGCTCGCGCGCTTCGCCGTCGCCGAGCACAACAGCAAGACCGTAAGACACGTTCCTTTGCACCTTTTTTAAGTTTTGTTCGGAGATCGGAGCCGTCTATTTCTATCACATGTATGTATAACACACGTGCAGAACGCGATGCTGGAGTTCGAGAGGCTGGTGAAGGTGAGGCACCAGGTGGTGGCCGGGACCATGCACCACTTCACCGTCCAGGTGAAGGAGGCCGGCGGCGGCAAGAAGCTGTACGAGGCCAAGGTGTGGGAGAAGGTGTGGGAGAACTTCAAGCAGCTGCAGAGCTTCCAGCCGGTCGGGGACGCCGCGGCCGCCTGAGGTACAGGATCTTTCTACAGGGACTAGCACAAGAAATGCGTAGAAGGGAATAAAGACTAAAATGGTTCGTTCTGTAGAACCTGGTATTAGCAAGCTGCGATCACTGTTTAAAGCTCTCCCTTGTGCTTGGATAACCATATTTCAGGTAGTAAAGGTATCATCTTCCAGTGCCATGATGTGTTTTCCCCTCAAGGCTCACAAGCTTTTCGCTGGAGGCTGGATCACAACAATGAAAGAATTTAGCTGTCGGACATGAAATACATCCCACTGGAAAAGTATAATATTTATGATGAATAAACCAGCATCTTACCACATGTATTGTATCCTGTATGATATATTGACTCCTGTAATGGAATGAGCTGTGCTAAGAAATCTGAAAGCCTTCTTGCTTTTTATATGTTGCCATACATCATACATCAACCAAGAGATTTCTCAACTATCCAAGGAAGCAAAAGCATAATAATTAACATTAAACTGGAGAGCAACTGGAATGTGCAACTGGTACTTTAACATTAAACTGGAGAGCAACTGGAATGTACAACTGGTACTATCTGCAGAAGCACTAGCTGTTGAGGGAATCTAACTTTAGAACATTACAGTCAACTAGTCGAGCGACCTTAACCTCTGGAACATTGTAAGCTACATCAGCAGCTTCGGCGGCTATGATACAAATGATACATGAAAACTGCTACAGAGTTAAGTTGAACCTACAGTTGTCTTGCTATTCCTACTTACCAACTCTGAAGCTATAAAGGCGGAGCTTAGTTTTCATTGTCATAATCCTCATCCTCCTCCAATCTATGGTTTGTTGACAAAGCAAACTGGATAGGGTCCATCTCCATCTTGTTCATGTCAGGCAGTTCCCAAGCACCAAGAAAGTCCTTGAGTTTTGCTCCTTCCTTTGACCGTGGAACAGATGGTCCAGCAGATGGTCCAGGTCCTGCAGTGGCTGCGACGGAACTAGTTGCTGGAGCTGGCAGCTGGGCTTGGGGTGGCACTGTAACCTCATCCTCTTCAGCAGTTGGATCCAAATTCAAGTCAATGTTCCTTAAGGAAGCCCTGGCATTGCTCACTGGTGTAGTAGCCGCTTTTGCTTCAGTTGCATTCGGGACCTCATCTGCTACCTCCACCTTTAGGCTGGCAAGCTTGCTAGATTGGTTCTCCGCGAATTGTTCATGAGTTGTGAAAACCTCCCGCCAAGCTCCACATCCACGGCGGCCTCTCCCACGGCCTCTGCCATTGCTTGTATAGCTTTCTGCCTCCTGCACAAAAGCAACTCATTCAGCAAAATGAACTCAGAAAGTCTAAGGCTCAATAGAAAATGGGATTCTCATATTTGATAATATGAAGTGAAGTGAAACCGAAAAGACACATAACAGCAGGAAATTAAGTTCTGGCAGATACTTTAGATTAATATTAGTCGAAAAAATAGACCACTTTGTCCATCCTTGGGACTTTCAAACCGACCAATCTAGTCACTAAGCTCTCTTTTTTGGCTCCAATATATCCTTACTCCAACATGGCATGCCTAGCCAGTGTTGGTCATCCTTTGTTGAGCAATCGCGGAAGAGAAGTCTCTTTTACACTTGTTTTGCTACATTACCAAAGGAATGTACGATGTAATCTCCAACCAATGACTAATCCGCTACCTTGGCAGCTATAAAAGGTTGTCTACAGATATATTATGTGATAAGTGAGAGTACAATTAACCATAATCCAACAAGGAAAGAAAGGGCATTGAAGGAGACAGTGAAGTAACATATCAGTAAAGAAACAAAAAGGGTAAAAAATAGTTAAGGATGCTCATAGTCAATTGGACTGGGGTATTGTTGCATCCATTCCCTTAGTAATTGAGCATAACAAGAACAAAAGAGACATTTCATGTGTGATGAAACAGCAACGGATGTCCATGGGTGACAAGGCATGTAATGTGGCATGCCATATGGGAGCAAGGACAGGTTTGAGCCCCCAAAAGAGACAGTTATAGAATTGAAATGGCCAATCCAAAAGTTCAGGGACAAAATTGAGCCTCTAGTAAAATTTGAGGGGTAAAATTGGTTATTTTGCCAAATTTTCTGAAAGATGTATGAGAGCTGTGAAATATACAACATCCACAAAGAGTTATTATGGTCTTATGGATAATAGCGACTTACATTTCTTGTCCTCTTTAATTCCTCCTCACTTCCATCTTCTTCAGCTTTCCTGATGACAATTCGACATCTATTAACACTTTGTAGAAGATGATTGGGACATGTAAGAACCTTGTTAACTACAAGATAGATAAATTACCTCCTTTTGCCAAGCTTATCATCAGCAATAACATCAGAAGGACCAATGTCTGGAACTTTGCTGACTACTTCAGTCAAGAAGTCATAGACGTTGTATGTTTGTATGCACTGCTTCCTGAACACATTAAGCAAAAAAACTTAATGAGTTAAAGAAATGATGAATTAAAAACATGCAAAAAAATGATACTACAATCTAGAAAATAAGTTCATTTTCTCTCCATACAATGACATAACACAACCTATACCCCACCCCCATGCCTCGCCAGCACCTGTCTACATTTTTTTCCAATCACTCAACAGGCCATGCAACACACACTTAATTTTTCTTTCTCACAAGACTAGGATCATTATAAATATCAGCAAAGAAAGAATTTACAGGATTCGAACACAACTAATGTGGACCCTAAACAGCAGTTAGTACACAGGATCACCATATAATATAACTCAGAACAGTTTAGCTTGAAAAGGAATGCCTATACAGAACCTATGCTCCTGCCAAGCCAAAGCAAGGCCTTCCTTGCCAATACCAATATATACTGAAGTTTATTGCTTGCTTGTAGAATAGCCTACATGCGACATGTAAAATCAACGTGCAACAAAGGAAAGACTAAAATGTAAAGCAGATAAATACTACTAAGCTTCTTTTTTATGATAATCAAGTAGGGCTATGCACTCATATATTTTCTATAACTTGCTCCTCCCTCTTCATTGATCAAACGAAAAAATATACCCAAACTCCGTACGACAAGAAGATGGGTCAAGTATACTTACAAATGGGAAGAACCCACAGTCTTGACCCCCTTTCGAATTGTAATATCATATGTCCTATCACATAAAAGGACGCACCAAGGCAGAAGAGCTCCCGCGCCTGCATGGGTCCGGGAAGAAGGCGTCATGGCAAGCCTTACCCTCGCATGTGCAATGCGAGGAGACTGCGACTCGAACCCGAGACCTTCCGGTCACAGGCGGTAAGACTCTACCGCTTGCACCAGGCCCGCCCTTCATATGTCCTATCACATAAATCTTGCAGAAATAGCTCCAATGCTTTGGCTACAAATCAAGGACATTCAAGACATGGATGTTAGATAATTTGAACAAAATGTGGACAATGCTAAAAGAAATTATATTGATATTGAAAAACAGACTACAAAAATATAATAGGCTAGTTAAAACGGCAAGACAAATTTGGAGTTACTTTGCACAGTATGCAGACATATCATCTCAAACGCTGGAAGGCAATTCAATTTAAATAAAGAAAAGTGCACGTATCACCAGCGGAAGACAAAGCGGCAATTAGAGTACAGATATCAACATATGATTTAAAGCATACTTTGCATTTTGCAACTGATAAATAATCCGCACTATTTAAAACAGTAGTCCTGTTTAATTTTCTACATCCACTGCCAAATGGAATTATGGACCAATTTAATCTTGCTACTACATTACTTAACTTTCTCTAAATAATATGTTGTAATGATTGATGAAGATTGTGATAACTATAATATGCTGCATCATACTTCGTCAAAACAATTACAGAAACAATAGAGAGCTATCACATTTTGCTTATGGTAATACTTATAAGTGCCTAAGTTTTCCAAAGAGAACGCCTGACATTACATAACAATATTTTGGCACCAATATCAAAACCAGAGAACCAATTAAAACATTCTATTTCTGATAAAGTAATACATCGACAAGCATGGGAAGTACACGCTTTACATGAAAATATAGTTTAGTTGCATGTGATTTTATCCTTTTGGTCTCCTAAATTAAATCCTAATCAATTCTTGGATAACAGAATCATAACATGGCGGGAAAAAAAGATTCATTCTGCAGTGATTACTGATTAGTGAAAGAACTATATGGCTAAAATTGATATAGTAGGATGCCAAACAGCTATCTAGGTAAATGGTAACAAAAAAAAAATAGTAGATTGACTTACACACTAGAACAGGTACAGCTAAAGCAATCTTGCCCACATCTTCATCTGCTTGCATGATCTTCTTAATCCGAGGCTGTATGTTAAAACACAATAAGTCGACATTAGATCAACACAAGGGTATAGTCAAGAAATTACTTGAAGCAATGTTCGTAATTATGATTATCCCATACTAAACATCAACTGCCTTTCCATTCCACAACTTGAGTAAAAAATGAAAGTGGTATGTAATTAATTTTGTCTACTTGCTTTGCTACATGAGGTGACAAACATCAATCCTAGCATATGTAGAAACATAATTTCAGAGCAAATGATAGTGAAGATTGCATCCCAAATGACTATGCACCACATATGGGATTCCATGTGAAACAGACTTTTGCAGCCTAAATATTTAAATCTACAAATGCATACCACACCGATAAAATACCATTGCAAAATAACTGATGAGTACACGATTTCTTTTTAATAGAAATTACACCAGATGATTATATCATGCTTGGGATCAGATGGTATCACAAAACTGGCATTCTCACAAAACTAAGCTGATAATCCAGTAACCACACTATCAACCACCATCACAAAACTAAGCTGATAATCCAGTAACCACACTATCAACCACAATAGGTCTAGAATTATAAGGGCTTGCAGACAATCGATAATGGTTAAACTAACAACGGGAACATCCAAAAAGAATATTATTTGAAAACTTCTCGATGCATCTGGACACCCAAAATTTTGCTCTTCATCATTCCTTAAATTATAACAGATCATAGAATTATGACCTGGTAGTTAAGCATGTAATTCTCAGAACTAAATCTACTCAAACAAGACCCCTGAGGTAACCTGATCCACGCCAAAAACCCATCACAGAAATGCTGGTGGTAGGTAACAAGACCTAAACATTCCAGGACCCTGTACAGATCGACTGCTTAGATCTACCGCGAATTCACAAAATCAACAACCAACCAAAGCCCTGAAGTATCCTGATGTATGTACTGAACGAACCACAAAAAGTTTATGTGAAACACAACCATGCATACCATAAGCTTAGAGCATACCAATCCAGTGGAATCATAGGGAAACCTTTCATGAGGAAGAACAAAAAAGAAAGAAAGAAATCGCAAGCAAACTCCACCATCAGAAATTCAAACAGCCACATGCATAACACAGTCACACGTATCTATCATCCGCGCACAAATACGCACAGGAACCAGGATACAGGAATTCAAACCGATCGCAGGATCTGAGATTGAATCTTACAGCGGGGAAGCGCGTGTCCAGCTTCTTCCTCATGGCGCCGACGACAAGGCGCTGGAACCAGCGCCGGAAACCTCCTCCTCAACCGCGGCGAGTGCCGCGACCCGGGGTTCGATCGCCGCGGGGAGCGCAGCTACAGGGGAGGACATCGGATCGGAGGGGAAGAACAGGAACATTAAATAGCAATTCGGGAGGGATTGGGGGATTTAGGGGATTAGGGTTTCCGTTACCGGCTCTAGTGTTTGCCTCTTTTGTGAAACACAACACCTTTTCCCCCAAATCGTTCGATCCGGGGCCGGGCCGCGCGAATCGGGCCAAAGCCTCCTCCGCTCTCCGTCCCGCGGGATCTGGACCGTGGACCCGGTGCATAGTAGCCTAACACCGCACTGAACAGCACGCGAAGTGGGGTCTGCTCGGCCTATGTACAGCAGACCGGGTCCACGGTACTGGTTCTCGCCCACGGTGACCTCACCACAGCGCGCGGGTAGTAGAACGCGGGACGGGAGGGGAGGAGCGGGCCCCACGTCCGTGGACTTTCCGTGCGTTAGCGCAGCCTCTCGTTCGTTCGTTCTATCCACGGAGGGGGAGCGGGGCCCGCTTGCCAGAGCGGGGGTTGGGCGGGCGGGCAGAGGCGCAGAGCCGTGGCGCTGTTGGCCTCCCGTGTCCGCCGTCCGTCTGGTCTGGTGGTGGGGAATCCGACGGCTCACCGAGCGGCCCGGACACGCCTAGAGTCCTCCCAAATTTGGGTGCAACCAACCCCGGCTTGGAGTCTGCCTTGTGACCTGTGAGATAAGGCCTCGACGCGATCCCACGTCATGTCAATTAACTCCATCGTCTATCCTTTTCTTCTCTTCCATCAGAAACATCCTTATCGTTTATTGCTTTTTTTTAGTAGCACAGGATATAAAAATAAAAAGGAAAAACATTGCCTAAAACGAGAACGACGCACCGCCCTCGAACCTACGAGCCTCTAAAGTTGAACGGTGGCACGGATATTCCCGTTTCATCGCTTGCTTTATTTGATTTGATGTCAAAGGAATACAATAATACAATTCTAGACTTAAAACTAAAATCAAAATTTTAAGCTCGACTTGATTTAAAAAAAAATGTACTCCCTATGTTCTACTTTCTCCATTTCGAATTATAAGTCATCTTGGTTATTCTAGATGTATTTGTTTGGCTATAAACATAGCATGTATCAAGGTACATGATTTTAAAAAAAATCAAAATAACTTATAATTTAGAATGAACATAGTAATTTATAAGTCATTTTGGTATATTTAGATACAAATATTTTTACTATGTATCTAGTCATAGCATGTATCTATATGCATATTTAAAATTGGGAAATGCTAGTGTTGGCTTTGTTTGGATGAAGCAGCACATTTATATCTCTATTGGATTTAGTCCTTGTTTGGATCCATTAGTTGTTAATAGTTAATAGCTAGGTAATGGCTCCGTTCGCTTCGCTGAAGAGAGAAAAATATTGTTTCAGCTAAAAAACAAGCTGAAAAAGATGGATTATAAGATAAACGAACAGGGCCAATAACTCATAGTTAATATTGGCTAGCTACCTATTAGCTGGTTTGGTTCAACTAGTGAGATAGTTGTTAGTTGGATATTCGGCGAACAATTAGCTGTATGTATTGGATTCAAAGAAGCTAACTATTAGCTCTATGGATCCAAACAAGATCTTGCCATGAGAGTATAATACATGATTAATCTAATGATACTTATTCAAGACTTGTTTGATCCCACGTAGCTAACAATTAGCTGCTAAAAATCAGATGAGGTCATGTCGGGATCCCCAACTAATGTCTCACCTACCACGCAGGTATCAATTAGCTATTACTAGTTTTTTCCAGCAAACAAATTTAATAGTTAGTTGGATGGATGCAAAGAGAGCCTCGGTACTACAAATGCTAGTATTTTTTTTATAGATTTGACCAACTTTAATGACTCTTTAAAACGAGAATTGTTCTTTTCTTTAAAACAAATTAGCTACTAAAAATTGGCTAAGTTCATTGTTTAGATCTAACTAATAAGTTAACTAATGGCTTACCTACCACCCAGCTAACAATTAGCTATTAGCTAGTTTTTTTTCCAGCTAACACATTTATAGTTAGATAGGTGGATGCGAACAAAACATCTATACCATAATTGTTACTGTTTTTTATAAATTTGACTAAAATTTAAATTATTTGACTCTTTAATAGTAAGAATTGTTCTTTTTTAGAACTGATGGAATATCTTTGTATATCTTAGTCTCTTTGCCTCAATCTTCTATCACGTAAGCCACGCCCTTGACATTATTCTTTATTGACTAGTTGTGTTCCTTGTCAACAAAAGACATGTCGCATAGGAAGTTGTTGATAAAACCTTTACTTATCCAAATAGACTAGATTGAATTATTCAATCAGCTAGTTTTATGTATTTCTAAATTATAAGTTATTTTAACTTTTTTTAGAACACATAGTAAAATTTACATATCTATGCATAACATATATCTAAATACGTAGTAAAAGATATATACATAGAGAAACCAAAACGACTTATAATTTGGATTAGAGAAGTAACTAGTAGCTGACACATATAACTAGTACCATTATTTAAAAAGGACCTTGGCCTGGCTTCCATTTACGACATTATTAGGCTAATCCCAACCCATGATTTCCATAAACAGTTTCTAGAGGTGTGAGAGTGAGAGAGCAATAAATATCAATAGAAACTAACCTTCCTAGCTCATGGTTTTCATAGTAGTTTTTATGTAGAAAAACAATAATTAACCTTATGCGTGCACCAAAATGGGAGTTGATCAAAGTATGGCAAGTAACAAAGTAGCTCTTGTGTGACATCTCTTCTCAAATATACATCTCAACTTTCATACGCAAGTACATAGTAGTTCGTATGTTAAGAATTCAGCACCAATGCCATGATAGTAAAATATTAACTCAAGTACAAAATAGTTTATACTCAAATGGTAGCATACTTGATAACAAAATTAACAACTCAAATTCATACACAATATAATAAAAAATATCAAATTAGGTAGCTAAGATATGCGAATGCATAGCAAAATGTAAAGGTCATATCATCATTCCATCATCTTGATGGGCATCAATTTCAGGAACAACATCATCTCCTGTCCAATACAAAAAATCTTAGAGAGTCTGAACGGCATCAGCTGCACAGAGAAATAACAAATAGTGAGTTTCCAAATAAATAATAATGGAACATTTCTATATAATGGTACTCTCAATATATAGTATAGATGGGTATAGGTCACAGTGAAAGCATTGGCATTAGTTTATCATATAATTGATTGTTACCTAATTAATTTAAGTTCCCAAACTTATGCCAAATATGCTCAATAATCAAGTCTAAATGTAGTTGCTTATAAGCAGCATGATCATGAATGTGTGCATTTCTTGCTAGTACTTTTGCCATCTCTAGCTTCCTCATTTAGACCAATAGGACTCGGCTCTATGTCTTTCTCATCCTCGATTATATATCATATTGTGAAGGATGATACAAGCTTTCACTACATTCTCAAGATCTCCTTGTTCATATAGACGTGCTGGTCGATGCAAAATACAAAAACGAGACTACGAAATCCCAAATGCACATTCAACATCCTTCCTTATCCTTCTTGATGTTGTGCAAATAATTTATACTTATCAGATTATGGTTTGTGTATTGAATTTACAAAAAAAACCCCACTCTAGATATACACCATCGGCTATGTAATAACTTTGGTCTTCCATTGATAATATTGTACCACCAATTATGTCTCATGACCACCCAAATAAGCAATTCCCCAATCACTTCTCCCTCTCCCTCCCAATTGAAACCCTAGCAGCAACACCAGTCAGTTACGTAGCGCAGCTACCTCAAGCCGAACGGGAAGAACTACATGGACTTGATGCAAGGGCAAGTTGCAGGTAACTAGTCTTTGTAGAAATCTGGCAAGTGACATTGCAGGCTGCATTGATGAGGATCAAGACCTAGCTTGAAATATCCAACCTCGAAATTCTAAATTCACCATTGTGGGAAGCTCACATTTTAGACTTCGTATAGGTGGGTATATTATAAAAGCTAGAGTTTAATAAGATAGTCTCCCCCATACCCTAGCCCCCACCCTTAGTCCCTCACCCTCACGTCCTCACCCTCACCTAATAGTGACGGAGCTTCCTTATCAGCTATCAAATTTATTAAGAATATTTTCATCTAGGGAAACCAACCCATAATAAGTAGTCTACATTTAGAAACAAAAACCTAATTATTTGATGGGACACTTTCAATTCACAACTAAACATTTCTGTCAGAATTAACCATAATGGCTCCACTTTTGTTGAAATTTATTTTCAGCCCAAACATGGTCTCATTACAAGTACAATAACCATTTCAAATTAGCAGCATATTCCTTACCATCTTAGATCTACACATCGTAGTATATCCATGTTCAATATAGGAAAAAGTCCATTCTAGCTCCTTGAACTACGTGTAGTTTGATTGTCCTCCTCGAACTCTAAAACTATACATCTTACCACTTGAACTCGCAAAACGGTTCAAATTACCTCCCTACCTTTGTTTGGAAGGTTTTGAATGTGGTTTTATCCTTTTTTTATTAGGGCATGTTTAGAACGCGGGAAAAATCTTTGTTCCTATGCTTTTCTATGAAATTGAATTGATTCCTATGAAATTCATGTGTTCCAAGTAGGCCTTTAATAAACAAATAAGGTTTTCAACCACATAAAATATCTCTATTCTTTTAAAATCATAGGGGTAGACCAAAAAATGACAAATTCAAATAAAATATTTAGAGCCCATAAAAATATCTCTAGATGCTTTAAAAAATAGGTTTAGATTTAGAAAAGTGAAAAAATATCCAAAATTATCTAGAAAAATATAAAAATATTCTGAGTGATTTGTAAACATGTTTTGAAATCTTTTTGCAATAAAAAACACAATAAACAACTAGTACAAGTGTATGGCATAAATGCATTCAACATTAATATATATTGCATTCATGCCGA